TCTCCAGGGCCGGCTCCCCATGCCGTGGGACCTTGGGCGATACCGGTGATGATATAGCCTCCGGCGGTGAGAATTGTGTTGTGGACAACACGTGTCTGTGCATAGTCCCCCTTCCCTGGGGCGTGGTCGACCATGTTGATCCCACCCAACAGGAGGCGCGAATAGCACACGATGGTGTTGGATGTGACCAGCGTCCCGGTAGCCTGAAAGACGACAATAGCACCATCGGTCGCATCGATAATCTCATTACCAGCCACGAGGCCGTTTCCGGCTGCGAAGCTGATGCCATCTGCCCAATGACCCTCTCGGACGTCTTTGCCAAGACCAGCGGGGCCGACTGTGGTAAGAATAAGCATCGATTTCGGCGGAAAGGGGATGAAACGCGCCTCGGCAATTGGTGATGCGGACATTGTTGGCTCCTTCGAATGCTTGGAAGCATGACCACTGTCTCGGATTTCGGATGATGCATCTGTCACACCACTGCAAGACTTCTTCAGACTAGTCGCTCTTTTTCATAGATCACACAGCCTTACCTGATCTTTCGTGGCTGGGTTCGATCCTCCGAACTGGATCAAACATCCACATTGGTCCTCCCTGCCATATAGGTCGTGCTTGCCATCGACGATCAGGTTTCTGAGCCTGACGCCGCTGGTGTCCCAGGCGTTAACGATGAAAGGGCGCAAGTCTTTTGTCGCGTCTAGTGATGCCATGTCACCTTCGGTGGTGGGATACCCTTCTGTCGCTAGCTCCTGCCAGGGATGCATCTTGATAGTCTCGGCGATGTCCCATTTCGAAGAGCGAGGAAGGTAGATGGTGCCGCCTTCTCCTATCGCATCGAGTGCAGCTTGGATCGACTGAGATGTCCAGCCGTAGTCCGGGTCAGAGAGGAGTCGCCAAGTCCCCAGAGGGTAGATGGACAGCTCTGGAGTTGGCCATTGTCCTGGTGCGTAGATGGCTCCTGCGGGATAAGGCTCTGAGATTCCGGAGGAACCAGAGTGTTGCACTACAGGGGAAGACGCAGCAACGGTAGGAACAGCGGGGGGAGCGGCGAGATGAGCGGCAGGAGGCGCGGCAGGAGAGGCACCGGAAGGAGGTCGAGCAGGAGCGCCGGGACGCGTATGGAAAGGTACAGGAGGAGGACCGGCCGTGCTAGGTGCTTGTTTCGGAGAACTGCTGCTCGCGGGAGAATCGGACCTCAACCGTTGTCTGAGTCGTTGCATGGCGAGAGGGGTCACGAGAGTGAGAGAAATCAAGGTACCGTTGCGGAGATGTTAGAGGCAAGAGATCTACACGTGTGAGCGCGCGCTGCGCAGTTAGCTGTAAGCAATTCCCGGCTGGTGAGTTCGGAGACAAGTGAGAACCCTTTGCCGATCACAAGCTCGAGGGAAAGGGATATGTATGCACTCTCAAGACACAAAGGAACGGTCTGAAGGTGCTGCGGTCGAAGGCAAGCCAGGCGTCGTTTCTCCGATGCCGAACGGGGCTGGTTGTCGGTACTTTGCTTCTGCATCGCCTCGGGTCGGTCCCCTACCCTGAACTGACACGTGCACCCCGCAACTTCTTGTCCTCCCCAGCACCCACCTCGATACCCTACCCCATGGCGTTCTCCGTCACTGTCGGCGCGCTCGAACTGGACGTTGTTACCCTCAGCTCCCTCGGACTGACTGTCGCTATTCTCCTTGCGGCGTATGTCGCGTCGCTCGTGCTGCTGCCCAGGAAGGCGCGCCTACCAGCGTCGACGACGGATCGATTGACCTTCATTTGGATGGTGTTTGATGCATTGGTGCGCATACACGCTGCGCCGGCCAATATCATTATGCTGACAGGGCCTCGCAGATTCATTTCATCCTCGAGGGCTCATTCCTGTACTACTCCTTCAAGTTCACGCCCACTGCACCATTCATGACCGTCACCGCCGGCGCGAACGCGTCACAAGAACCACTCGCGCTTCTCTGGCAGGAATATGGCAAGGCCGACAAGCGATGGGGTGTGTCCGACCCCACGGTTATCTCTCTTGAGATCTTGACTGTGTACCTGGCCGGCCCGATCTGCCTGTACATCGCGAACAAGATTGTGAAGAGGGATCCGGCGAGACATTACTGGATCATCGTGTTGTGCACGGTGCGTGAATCTCTTGGATCATCAACGTTCGCCATAACTGAATGTGCATAGGGTGAGTTGTATGGGGGCTGGATGACATTCGCCCCCGAGTGGCTCACCGGCACTCCTGGGCTGAACACTAGCAACTGGCTTCTTCTCTGGGTGTACGTCCACCTCGCCCTCGAACATAACATCGTGTCTGACTACGTTGTTTACAGATATCTGATCTTCTTCAACATGCTCTGGGTGGTGATCCCCATCTGGCTCATGTGGGACTCATACAACTTCGTCTCCCGTAGACTGAGGCTGGCGGACCGCATCGGGAAGACGGACTAGGGGGAGATCTGTATGATCTATACAAAAGATCTAATGCATGTTGTATCGGGTCATATTGGGGATCGAATCAAGTTATACCTTAAGCACGATATGAGAAGACTAGGTTTCGTACTTTACGAGTGGGCATGTGCAACGCACGCGTTGTGCTGGTAAGCCCGCGGTGAGACGCGTCTCTTTCGCGTCTGGATCCTCCGACCCTTGGTCCCTAATTGGCTCCTCCATCACGGCTTTGTAGCGGCCTGTCAATCTCGCCGAGATGCAGGTCCTCGGTGCTATAAAGTCCGGTGTTGTGCTGTTGCCTTCGTCTTTGAAGTTCCCTATCGAGGTTCTCCGGACTTGCGATATCCCTCTACATCATCTAACTTCAGTGTGAAGTCGCCATGGCTGTCGAGACGCTCGGCCCGCTGCCGAAGACGATGAAGGGTCTGCAGATAGTGGAATGGGGCAAGCCGTATGTCTATAACGAGAACATCCCCGTGCCTGAGATCAAGGACGACGAGCTCCTCATCAAGATCACGGTTGCCGGATAGTAAGTGTCCTGTCTAATGCAACACGCACAGAGCTGATCGTTCGCGAAGCTGTCATACCGAGACGTGCGTGGCATGACCCTCTCCTCTCCCACTTGACTGAATCGGCTGCTAGCATGGTCCTCCGAGGCGACTTCGACAAGCTGATTCCCTGGGACCCACTCCCCCAGATCCCCTCGCACGAGGCGACGGGGTATATTGCCGCGATGGGCTCTGCAGTGGACAAGAGCCAATTCCAGCTGGGCCAGCGCGTTGCGTGCCTGAACTACAGGAGCTGGTGCAAGAAGTGCGATGATTGCAAGACGGGAATGCAGCTGTATTGCGATAGTGAGCTTGTGAGCGAGAGGGAAGTGACGAGGGACTGAGAAGGCACAGATTTGAAGTCGAATGGAACGACGGTGGACGGCGCAATGGCAGAGTATATGATTGCCGATCCAGGTGCGTGTGCCACTTCCAGCCTTGTGGATTCCTTCTGACCTTCAGTCTAGGCAGCACTCTCGTTCTCCCTGATAAAGTGCCGTTCGAGAAGGCGGCTCCCCTAATGTGTGCTGGCGCAACGATCTGTGCGTATTCAGTCCGACGTCTGGTGGAAATTGCTCATTCTCGATAGACTCGGGCGTCAAGCGCGCAAACCTCAAGCCCGGTCAGGTGATGGCGATTGTCGGTGTCGGTGTATGCGCTTCTTCTCGCCTGATCGCGTTCGGCGCCTGACCACGTCCTTAGGCACTTGGACACCTGGGTGTTCAGTTTGCAAAGTGTTTGGGATATAAGGTCGTTGCCATCGACTCGCGCGAGGCGCCATTAGAACTAGTCAAGTCATTGAAGCATCCACCGGTACGTTCCCTCAACTTGCCGCACTTCTCTCTCAGCACACACGTCTGGCAGGACATCGTGATCAACTCAACCGAAGGGTACAAAGCCGCACTGGAGAAGATCCCTTGGCCGGTCGATGCTGTTCTGGTGGCGACTGACGCCATACCCGCGTACGAATTCGGTCTCGAGATTACCCGCAAGCATGGGATCTTCGTAGATGTCGGCCAGCCATTCGACCCCATTCCCGTCCACTACCGACATCTCATCTGGCGCAACGTCCAGGTTGTGGGCGTCTCGCTCGGTACGATTGGGGATACGAAGGAGATGGTGCAGCTATTTGCTGATCACGACCTTGAATGTGCAACGCGGATGTATGATATCAAGGATATCGCCAAGCTCATCGAGGATACTCACGACAAGAACATGGCTGGGAAGATGGTAGTGAAAGTGTCCGACTAGTCGCAGCGTGTACTTTTAGTCTTGGAACCATAATAGATGCAATACGGATCATCCGCAGAACAATGATTTCATATCGACGTCGTACAAGCTCCCAAGATGTTGCCTTGCGAGCAAAGATGGAGATGTACAATTAAGATATCCAAATACGAGGAAGCCAAGGAGATCCGCTTGTCACTTTGCTGGGAAGGGTACTGCGAAGAAACAGTGTGCCCGAAACCAGTAATAGATAGAGGGATCCCCTGACGACGCAACCCGGTGAGTGCAGTAGGAAGGTCATCTTGCCGAACGCCATGGCATGCCAGAGGGCGAACGACGGGGCGGCAAAAATTAGATAACCATAATAATCGCAGTGCGATTATATTAGTGGTTAAACTAATAAGAACAGATACTACACTTGATCTAAGCCAAAAGGCCAGAGTGGTAAGGAAAACGGAAGGGCGCGGGTGGAGGATGTATATAAGGGATTCGACGCGCGCACGAGCCACACGGTCCGTGCGCGCAGAGCGAGCGAAATTTGTAAGGGAACGAGGACGGAGGCTTTCTGCAGTTGGCGAGGGAGAGTCCTCGACAGGCCCACCCACCAGGTCAAGTACGCACACGACCGCATCTTCCACGTCGTTTTCAGTCTTTCGAGTGGTGTTGGTATCCATCAGGAAACTTATGCGAGAGAAATGGAAGCGTAGCGATGCCATTTAATAAACAGCCTCAGATGCGTCGTGGATTCTAATGTCCATAATTGCACTGTCGTTCTCACCAATCTGCAAAGGCAAGATGGTCGAGTTGGTCTAAGACGTGGGATTCAAGAACTCTGTTCTTACCTCCTCGGAGGCATGAAATTCCCCATCTCGTAAGAGGCAGGGGTTCGAATCCCCTTCTTGTCAAGGCATTATCTTTTTCGCATGATTTACAGACCCTAAGCCCTTGGGGATCGAAAGCGCAAAGGAAGCTGCCTTGGCGTGAACCTGGCTTTGCGAAGAAAGCGGTCGTATAGAGGCGGAGTCAAAATGTGCGAAGAAGTGATTCGTGCATAGCTTGTGTACATTACAATAGTGCGGGTCGTAACAGTGCAATAAGCCATTGGAAGGCATGATGCTTTTAGGTGTCTACTCGGGCAGCGTTGTCCCCACCGGCTGGTCATCGACCATCTCCTCCCTCCAGATACGATACATCTTGCGCCTGTTGACCTCCTTCGTGTCCGCCTGGCTTGCCTCGTCGAACCACCGCTTCATCAGCTCTTTCTTCACATCCTTCCTCGCCTCCGCCTTGCCGAGCGCCCCCATCAGGTTCGGGTAGGGTGTGTCCTCCACGCGCGGCGTGGCGAGGGAGTAGAAGAGCGGGGAGAAGAGCGCGGAGAGCATGCGGTCGAACGTGATCTTGCTGTTGTGCAGGGAGCAGGAGTGGATGAACGGCTGTGCGAGGAGCGGTAGCGGGGGGGCAGATGCGTCTGGCAGGTCGGCGACGACCTTCTCCAGCTCGTCGAGGTAGAGGTCAGCGATGTGGTACGCGAGCGCCTGTGGGATTTTGGGATCGATGGGACTACAAAGGTCAGCACGCGCATACATGCAGCCAGAGAAGACGCACTCTAACGGCCCGCCCTTTCCACCCAGCATGTCGTTCCACTCCCCGACGCTCTGCTCGTCCCACTCCTCCCTCGCAAGCAAGCGAAACCCGCCATTGACAAACTTGCGGACGAGCATAAAGTACTTGTCCAGGCGAAGGCGGTCGATCCCATTCCATTCCCTGAGCATGCTCTGCCAGAAGCCACGCATGAAGCCCAGCGCCCGCCCGGCATCCTCCATCTGGAGCGGGATGCTCGCGAGCTCGCTGGATAGCGCTTGCTGCACGAGCGGCTTGTCGGAGTGCCAGTAGCAGTAGAAGATTCCCTTCCACAGCTTCGTCATTTCCTGCGGGGGAAGGGCATGCGGCGAGGAAACGAGGAAGGAGCGAAGGGAGGCAACGGCTTTGTCCCGTACTTCCTTGTCTGGGTGCATACATTCAGCATGTACCGGATGGGAGGGAAGGGGTGCGCACCATTGTGAGCGAGGAATTTGCCCAACGGAGGAGCCTTGGCCGATGTGGACGCCTCAGCTGATTCGGACATAGTCATTGTAAGCGAGTAGGATGGTGTATGCTGAGAAGAGAGCCGTCGCAGTGAAGAGAAGCAAGGATTGCCGTGCACAAGATCGGACTGGAAAAGTCGCCAATAATTCTGGTGGGCGCGTCAGGGACCAACCCCCGGCGGCGGCACAAAGACCGAAAAGAAGCTGTGGGTTCGCCACTCTTGGCATCGCGACTATTTGTGGTGTACGACAAGCATTTCCCATATCACCTTTTCCTTTTGCTCTTTTCTGTCTCCTCCCTCCTCGCCTTCACCCAAAATCTGGGCAATGCGATGCCCACCCAGGCCCGGTCGTCCGCTCCCCCCGACCAGCCCGCGGCGCCCGCAACCGACCCGCGCCCGCCACGTCCTAGCGCGAAGGCGCTCGGTAAAAGGAGGGAGACGTTTCATGGGGTGCCGGTTGAGCGCGAGAACGGGGACGGAGAGGCGACGGGGGACGAGGGAAAAGAGGACGGAGCCCCGAAGAAACGCGTCTTGCCGTATAGAGCGAGGAGGACGGGCATGGGAGGCCTCGGGAGCAGCAGCGTAGACGAGCAGGTCATGATTTACATTCAGCAAAGAGGTATGTCCATGTATGCTTATACGTTATACTCTGCATGCTGAGCTTGGGGACAGATGAGAAGCCTCTTATATCCGAAAGCGCAATCTTCGTTCTCACAACGCGCGAAAAAGGCCTCCCACTTGCTGAAGAGTCCGAGAAACCCATCCCTCTCCTCACGAACGGCGCTTCAGCTGCGTCCACATCCTCCGCCCCCAAGGGCTCTTTCACCCGCCTCAGTGAGATCGAGCTCGTCGGCAGCCGGCTGCGCGCCCGTGCGGAAGAGGTTGAGGACACGTCCGACGCGGCCTACCTCGCCCGACACCGCAAATACGAGGCGACCGAGCGGCGCCAGCGGAAGCGCGAGGTCGAGAAGCTGACGCATGAGCACTACCTGCTCAAGCAGCGCATGAACGAGTATGTCCTCATGGACGCAGCGGCGTTCGGGGGCGAGGACAAAAAACGCGTCATGCTCAAGGCCGCCGAGGAGCTCGACAGGAAGTACCAGGGCCTCCTTGGGCCCAGGGTCGAGAAAAGTGCGAAGGACGCTTTGGATATGCCTGAAACTTCCAGGGAGGGAGTTGCACCGTCCGGACGTGGACGACCGAGAAGCAGGATGTCCGAGCCTCCCGTGCATCACACGCTCCCCAAAACTCGGCCCAAGGCCGCCACCACATACTCGCGAAACAGCTCTGCCCGCTCGACCCCGCAGCCCCATCTCCATCTCCAACACCGCGTCGCCGAGCTGCGCGGCTCCGAAGCCTCCCAAGCATCCTTCTACACCGCCGCCTCGTCCTCCTCCGACCTTGGCTCCCCGTCCCCCTTCCTCCAAACCCCCTCCTCGGCATACAAACCCAGGCAGGCCAAAATCGATCTAGACGCAGACCTGTCGCCGTCCGTGGTACGCATACACGGACGGGACTCTCACGGCCGGTTCGCGCCCAAGCCGAGCCCAGTGAAGCGCACCGCTACCGGCCGAGCCAAGCCCAGCATATCAACAAACCCCGACGACACCTACCAACAGCGCCGTTCGCTGACCACCTCCCAGTCCGCGCCAAACCTCCTCGCGCGCAAGCGTACCCGAACCCCTCCGCCCCAGACCCCAGTCCTGGTACGCGCCGCCGCCCGCCCCTCGCGCGCGGAGCGTAACCTCCGCCGCCCGACGGCGTTTGGCGTCCCGCTCGGCTCGGCAGCCGAGGAGCTGCGCGAGTTCGAGATCCCCAATTGGGTGGAGGTGGACTACCCCGACGCTGCGGCCGAGGAGGAGGAGGAGGAGGAGGACTACTGGCCGGGGGAGGAGGCTACGCAGCAACCTGATGACCCCGAGCTAGGGGTGAAAGAGGAGGAGATGGACTTGGATGTGGTGTAGTGTACTTGTTTGAACATGTACTGTTGTTGCGCGCGGCGGTTTGATCGTGTTGTTGTGGGCGCGTAATGTACTGTGGACACCGGTGTTGTCCGTACTCTGGAACATGTGTACGTGCGAGAGACAATGCGACGAGTGAGAAACGCCGTGGAGAAAATTTATGAACTGGGCACTTTGTTCATAACTGCCGCCTCGAATAACGACAGCCACAGCTGACAAATGTGGTACAGTACAATGCCCAGTGTCTGGTTGCGGAGACGGGACAAACAAACGCTGTCTTGACAGTGAAGAGATGGAAGAGGCAACTATTAGAGCACGAGCATAAACTCGACAAGCCTCCAAGCCAGAAGCGGTCGCTCTATGCAGAACAGTGCACCTTTCTCACGGAGATATAGCAACGGCCCCGCAATGCCGCTTCAACCTGAGCACGGAGCTGCTGCTGCACACCATCTGCCTGGACAGCACTCCCAAGCTGGTGCTGGCACTGAGGACGCGGAAAACGCTCCGTAGGGTTCTCACACGTTCGGCCCCATCGCCACACGGTCCAGCGTCCAGAACAACAAATGATGAACAATGAACGGTGCTTTTTCATTCCCCCCTTCCCCTTTTCTAAACATACCCAAACGCCCCCCCCGCCTGCCCCAGCGGCGCCCGTCTATACCCCGTCCTGCTCGGGTCAACCCTAACCAAGCGCATCCTCACCTTCCCTTGAGTGATCAACCCTACCTCTTTCTGCCCCCTGCCTCGTTCCACAAGGTCCACGCTGGGGTTCTTGCTGAGCGTCAGCGCAGCCCTCTCTGCTGCAGATGGGCGGGTGGGGAGACGGAGCGGGCGGGAGGGGGTAAGAGTGGGAGGGGAGAGGAGGGTGGAGGTCGTGTACCGCGTGTAGTCGCCTAGGTTGGACTCGAGGATGTTGGGTCCGTTGTACGGGTGCAGGATGAGGGGTGGTTGGGCTTCCTGGGCGGGCGGGGTGGCCACGACAGACTCGGACACGGTGGGAGCAGGCGCGGTCAAGCCAGGCTGGACGAACTTCCCCCTCTTCCCAGGAAGAGGTACAGGGAGGTAGAGCTCGTTCCCCGCTCCCCTCAAGCTTGCCAGATCCACCCCCCCTTGGGGCTGGAGGATAGCAGGCCCCCCCAGCCGCAAAGTTTGGTCAAACATCGCCACGGTGTACACCACGTCTTCGACAGGTAGGCGGCCCTCGGCCTCCATCGCCCGCGGGCTCCCGCTCACCCCGCGCGCCGTTTGGCGTCTGCCCCGACCGCGACCTCGCCCCCGCCCCCGGCCACGACCGCGGTAGAGCGAGGCGCCGGGGTAGTCGGATAGCGTGCTACCGGGGGTGCCGGCGGTGCTGACCTGCCCTCTCCCGCGGAAAAGCTGGCCCCCGCCCCTGCCCAATTCTTGCCCAGGTCCGACATGCCTAGGGCCGGGGCCGAATAGCTTGCGCGGCGCCTGTCCCTCGGGGAACCTCTGCGCGTCTCTGCGCACGCCCTGCTCTTCCTGCCCTGCCCCGACCTGCCTCGGGCCAGGTCCGAACAGCCTACGGGGCTGCCCCTCCGCCCGCCCACGCCACTGCCCCTCCAGGCCACGGCCCTGCCCCTCCCTGCGCACGCCCTGCCCCGCCTCCCCTTCCTGCACCAACGGCGCCCTAGGCCCGGCGCCTTCGACAGCCACCGAAGCCCGCCACTGGGATTGCAAGATGGACGCTTTGAGCTGTTTTTGGATCTGCTCGTAGGGCGGGCGCGAGAGGTCCGCCTCCGCTCGGGGGCGGGGACTGGTGGGGGCGCGCTGCCGGTTCTGGCTTCGGTAGGTGGTTTGCTCGTGTTGCGCGTGGTCGGCCATCGGGGGTGGCGCGGGA